GGTTTCCTCATTTTTGTTACATGTATCTTATTATTATTACTACTGCTGCTGCTACTGCTACTACTGCCTACTACTACTGCCTCAGGCCCAGCTCTTCCGATCTTTCCCTTGAGCAACCAGGGATCACGACAGGCGCAACCGTTTGCAGTGAGATCCAGTGACTTGTTACAGGTCTCCATGACCAGACGTGACTAAGCTGTCGATTACGTATCTATTTTCATATGCTGTCTTTTCATATTCCTCCCCCACCCCCCCGCACATGAAAGCTCAAGCCTCGACACTCCGAGAGGTTCGAGGAGTCAACATACTTTTGCCCAAAATACGGAGCAGCCGGGGGCTTCTAGGCTGCCACACGCGTTGCCTCTGAGAAACGCAAGTGGATACATCCGGGTTCGCCTTACTAACAGTGGACGTGCGTGCGCCTGCGCCGCAAGTGGTGCAGCCGAAGCATAGCATTTTGGGCCAGGCAGGTTCTGTTGGAGTGTGTGAACGAGCCCTTCCCAAATGCCCAGGACAACTCCCTTCTCTTCAACTAGTTTCCTTTTGGCTTTCCCTCCCGAGCTGATTTTGCAGTGGTGGGGATGGACACTTAACAATTGCACTTTGCTTCTTTGTTTGTCTCTTTGTCAATGCCAGGTTGATCCTCCAAACCAACTCGTGTTCTTCTTGCCCGATAACTTGACTGCTCTTGGGTTGGATCTTTAGACTTCAACTTGTTGGAAAATCACGGGGTTTTCCACTAAACCCACAAACAGTTAAACTCTTTTTGCAGAGGGATCAACCGCCACCAAGAATACGTTTTCCATTCTCCACTTGCTTTTTGTCGGTTCGCCAAAAAAAACGGCAACCAAGATAAGAGTTCTTTTCTTTTTTCCCCCGCTTGCTTTTGGTTGGTTCGAGGGGGCACTCCACGCCTGAGGCTGGGATGGGGAGGACGACTGCCTGGAGAAGATGGAGCTGGAGCTGTCGGAGCGGGGAACCTTCAGCTGCCCCTCGGGTGGATAGGGAGAAGTAGATCAGAAAGTCGGGGCGTTCACCTCACACCTTTGCTTCAACTGGAGTGGAAAACGATGCCTCCGGGGCTTCGGGGAAGGCTTTTTGATGTTCCCGAGCGAGCGGTACCCGCCAGGTGGCCTCAAGATACACCCCTTAAAAGGACCCTACCAATACTGCCTGACCTCCATGGATGTTCAGGGAGGGAGTGCACTGCGCATGGCAGAGGCTTGGGATGGAGGGACGCGATTCTTGCGGCTCGCTTCGTCGCAATGGGCGGAAGGGGTTTCTGTGGGGCTTTGCGCACGTATGCCAACAAGAAGCACACCCATTTCACTGCACATGTTCACAACCGTGCACACGCCTGGGTCTTCTGCTCGCACAAAACACGGGTGCCATTGGACAGGTGATGCTGGCAGCAGCCAGCCCCATTTGCTTTGCGCAACCTCCACCAGCTCCTCACATGTCGAAACTGAGATCCCTCTCAACAGCTGAGATGCTGCGCCTGGGTTTCATCCCAGTACTAGAAACAAGGTCAAAAGTCACGGTGATTGACGTTTTGCCTTGGTACCGAGACTGAACCCTTCTACAGCCCTTCATGTGTATTTGTGAGTCGTTTTGCATGCCAGCAGTGGGAACGGGCTTCTCTCAAAGTGTCAATCAGCGTCAAATGGTTCAAATGCCTTTGGAGCAGCAGGGACAGATCATAGCCATTTAAAGGGGGTTCCGGCAACGACTAAATCGGACCTTCAAGTCGCGCTTCTCGATGCAGGCCTCATTTTGTAAGGTGACAAAGGATGGAAGGAAGGCCGTTTGGGGGGTCTGATCATGCCACGCACGAACACAGGCGGCTCCGCTTTTAAGTGGGTATATGGCCATCTTTTTAAGGGGACTCTTTGGAAAGGTTTGGTCCTCAAGGCCAAACCCGAAGTGAATCTTAGATTGGATCTTCACCACCCCTGCAAGATTCCGATGCAGACCGACAGGGGTTGGCCAGTTTGGCATGGGCTTCTTTCCAGTCTAAAAGGATATCCAGGGGTTGCAAGTGTGTGTGCATACATAACATGTATGTATATATATATATATTATTCACATACACACACATACACATACACATACACATACACATACACATACAGATACAGATACAGATACAGATACACATACATACACAGTCACATATGCATGCATGGACACATACATTCCTACCTACCAACGTCCATCCCTTTGTCCATCCATCCGTACGTAAATACACGCATATGTTTATGTTTGTGCATCACATATCAGTCCGTAATGATTTGTCAGGCCCAGTGCTTGCCGGCGTCAGAGGAGACGAGCCCTTGGGGAAACCACAACATAAAGCCGAATCACTGGGAATGAGTGTGTTCAGTGCAGCTCACGCCCAGTTCGAGCGTTCTCCCAGCTGGACAAGGGCATGACAGACATTGACACTTCTCAGGGCGTTTGGGAGGCGGGAGGGGGGCTCCAAGGTTCAAAATTGGGGGGGAGGATTGGGCTGGACGTTGGGCAATTGTAGTACTTGCATGCGAAGAACACACAGGGCTGCATTTGAGCCACTTCAAACATATTGCGCTGGTCAAATAATACCATTGGCCCAGTCTAGCTTTTGGGAACATGGGATGCACCTGCACCCAAAGGCCATTTCTAGGCTGAGAACAAGCTGAGAACAAGCAAGGACAAACAGCGGTCGTGGTCCAAGGGCTGGCCCCAGCTGAAGTTGGTTGCAGGACGGAACTAGCCAAGCTAGGAATCCTGTGATAAGCTGCAACCATTGGCTTCTAGGGAAGTGTGACAACAGCGTGCGGCATTTTGAGAGCATAGCTCATGACGCGGTCATGGTGCAACTATCATATGGATGAGCTGGCTCCCTCGGGGGTAAAGCGCTCGCTGGGCCTCGGGGATTTGGTTCTGTGAAGGTTCGCTTCGGAGAGCCTCCGCTCTGTTTGAGACCCATCTTCTCAGGGGTGGGTTCTCCCTTGAGCACCACCACCTCAAACAAGCCCAGTACTATTTTGCGCTGCCTTTGGGTTTTTCAGGACGTTCAGACAACAGAGAAGGGGAGCACCGGGACCACTTGCTGGGTTTCGCTTGTGGTTTGCTATGTGGGGGAAGGCTCAGATTTGGACACGCCAAGCACCACAAAAAGTAACTTGTATTCAGGTTGCAAGGTTCATTCTTTGCTTGGTTGCTTGGCAGGTGTCTTCATATCAATTCCGGCGATCTTGTCTTCAGCTCTTCTAAGAGTTTGCTGCTTTCAAAAGGCCCAAGAGCAGCTCCCTTTGTCTCTGCCCATGAATCAACCTGGCGTCCTCACCCTGCGAGCTGCCAAGCTTCAAGCTTCCCTACACCAGCGGTTCCTTCCTCCCGCATTTGCGAGTTGTCCGGTTTTCACTGCGGGGACGGATCCGGCGCAGCTCCCAGACATCCCAAACGTGATAAGCGCCGTCCCTTCAGGTCTCAGCTACCGAGCCAGAGGTTCTCCTCTACAAGGAGGTGGGGTGTTGATTGGGGGGTGTTGATTGGGGGGTGTTGACGCGGGGTTCTGCGCGTCTTGGGGGCGCGTCTGGGTGTTGGAGGGGTTTCGTCTCTTGGGGCTTTTGGGGCCTTTGAGGCCTTGGCTTCGATTCTTTTGACTCTTCCAGGCTCTGAACTGTTGGCTTAGGCGGGCTTTGAGGCCTTCGAGGCTTGGGTTCGTTCAGCTGCGCAAGTTGGCTGCTTGGCATAGGTGGGCCCCGTGGAGCGCTTGCGCCTGGCCGCCGGGGAGCTCGACACCGGCAAGGTGGGCCCTTTGCACCTCGGAGCCATTGGACCTCGCGGCCGACGGGATTCCTAAGACCACTTCGGGCGGAGAAACCCATTCCAGGCAGCCACTTTTTCGCGCGCCGCGCCGTTCCAAGTTCCAGGCGGCGTTATTTTTTGCGCGCGCCGTGCCGTTCCAAGCAGCAACTCACGCGCCATCCCATTTGTACCTAGACCTTTGATGGCTCGCCTTAGGTGAAGCACATGGATTTCTTTACGGCTTGGGCGTGTTCTATGAATGGCTTGGGTCTTGGCGATTGGGCAGACCCGGCCCAGCTTGGTTCCAGTTCCCTACTCGAGGTCCAAACAGCGCCTGATCCTCCGGGACGGCTGCTTGGAGTGAGCTGAAGGCGATCGGAGGCAAGGGGCCGAAGATGTGCTTCTTTTGGTCCTGATATGCATGTGTTGTGAGGTTCAAGGTTTAGATGTTGGATGGTTTTTTTCCCCCTTTTTTTTTTCTCACACGTTTCAAATGGGCAGCGAACTTTCGATAATTGCAGAACCTGCAGCTGGCGCCCCATCTCTGTTTGGCTTGAAGCAACTAGCGACATCCTCCCGAGGCTTGGCCGCGTGATCGATGTGCGTCGCAGTTTGTGATGTTTGCTTCTGGGATTGCAACGTGTTTGGTGCGCTGAACAGCTTTTTGTCAACACACAAAAAAAACACCGCCAATGCCATGTCCACTCAATAGCATGACCTCTAGCTGACTTAGAGGGCCTTTGCGTTCAACTTGCGGTCAAGCCCTTCAGCATCCAGCAAGCGCGCTCGCTGCGGCCGCCCTGTCTGAATTGGCCCACCAGTTTGGCCGTGCCCTGCAAAGCAGGCATGCACATAGGCAAGCGAGGCAAGTAGAAGGGCCTGGGGTCCAGAAACTCTTCGTCTAGGCCGAATTTGCAGGTTTGTGGATGCTAGGCTTGAACGGAGCATACACTTTTTGGCAGTGAGATGAAAGGCTTTCGCGCAGGTCTGCTTTGATATGGGGAATCAGGGATTCATAAACTGGTCCGATGCGCGCGTGCCATCCGGAAAGGTCCAGGAGACCCACTGAAACAGAGGGACACAATGAGCCAGCGTTTTCTCTCGAACATGGTCAAACGCTGCATCTTTAAGGCACTTGCTTCGGAGGGGACGACGAGACTTTGCTGTTGGCATGAGCTGGCGGGGGTGGTGGTGTTCGTGGCGGTCGGGGCGGCGGCGGTGGGGTGCTGGTGCTGGTGCTGGTGCTGGTGCTGGTGCTGGTGCTGGTGCTGGTGCTGGTGCTGGTGCTGGTCACGGTGGTGGTTGTGGTCGCTCTCAACTCTCAGCAAGCTAAGGTCAGTTGAAATGGCTTTGCCTTCAGCCAGTAGACTCTTTGCGTTCGAAGCTCCAGCTTCGGTCAATCTTGCGCAGTTTTCCACGCGCTTCAGTCTTCATGCTGGCGTGGATGCGACCCCAGCGCCTTCTGCTTTCCGTTTGCTCCGGTTTGACCCAGCTGCGAAGCAGCAGCGTCGACGAATTTGACCCAGCCCGCGGTAGTTATGTCCTGCTGCGTGTGGGAGCAAAGCTGCGGTTCGGGATCAGGGCAAGGCACTCCGGATCTAAACAAAGGCTCAGTTGTCCATTGCGTTCAGGGTCCCTGCTACTTTTGCACTCTGTGTCGGCAACTGAAATGCGATCCCTGGATAACTAAAGAGCTGGATGTTTCATCCGGGATACCCATCTTGTTTGGGGTCGGACTACTTTGAGGGATGCTTCCTGTCGACAGCGCTGCTAAACGCAAGGGCTAGAGAAGTAAAAGAACTGTGGGGAATATGGGCCAAATGAACTTGAGGGTCTCCAGAGACTTCGGTGATTGAAAGGAAGCAAGAAGGAAACCCGTACGGCGATCAAAAGGAGGAAACCAGAAGGAAAGCAAGAGAAGGCCAGATGGCTCCGCTATTTTGGGAAACGCCCACTCGTGTTTTGGATGTGTTTTGCTCCCACCATTCATTTTCATTTGGGGGCAGCAAATATGTGTGGTCGTCAAAGGCTATCCCACGTGGCTGGATTTGGGTCGGGTGAACTGTGCGTTGGCGCACTTGTAGAGCTATGAGAGCTGGCCGGTGTAAACTTATTATGAGCAAGGGTTTGTTGGTGTGATTTCCCACGAAAGCAGGAGGTCCACCTATTTTGTGACCCACCAAGACGTGTTGACTGTAGCAGATATGTAGAGAGTTGGCCCATATGTCCTATCATTGTTCCAATTTTTCAGACGGCCCGGACGTGAGGTAGGTGTTCGTGGGTCATAGAAAGCAACCTCAGGGCACCCTTTGCAAATAATTTTCCTTTCATGGAGATTCTATTGAACTGCCAGGAACCCAAAACAGGACTGATACCCTTTACGCCCCGCCAGGGGCTGAACAGGGGTCCGTAAAGACTCCGATATCATTAGGAATCCCAAAGCAAAGACCGGCAACATAGTCTGAGCTTTGGGCCAACCTCAGCATCACACTCCTTCTGTTGCTTTAGCATCCATTCATTCCGTACTCCGTTTATTTTCCACCTGTTTCCTGAGTCCCTGTTTCGCTTTTGACATGTTTTTTTTTGCATTTTCTGGACCACCATAATCTTAAGCATATGACTTGCCGGTGCTCAGCAGGGAATGAGAATTGGAATGACCCCGAACTAAAGCCTCCAACTGGTGGTTTCCTTCAAGGGGGTTTTCTTGGGTTGATTCCCTCACCTATCGCACCGGCAAGATGATTGGTGGGAGCCTTTTGATCGTTTCGACCTCCGCGAGGGTTCGACCTCACCGGCGCGCTGCGGAGCTTGAAGGTGGACAAGAAAGTGGGCCCTGTCAGCGAGGCGAAACCCGCGATGGTTCACACGGCGACACAGCGCCTTCGCGTTAAAACGAGCCGATCTTTTGTTGTTTGTGCGGGGAGATCCATGAAATTCAATGCAATCCATGGACGGAGTTTTCTTTGGCGGCTTTTTTTGGTTGGGTGGGGGGGACCCATATTTCCCCTTGTTGTGGTTGTAAACATCGTCGGTGATGCTTTAGGGGGCGATAGAGAATCGACCCATGAGCAGGTTGTCCTTTGACCTTTGTTTGGGAATGCTGCGCTGTTTAGGGAGCTCTAGGCCTTTTGAAAATTGGAAATACATTCTTTTGCTTGCCCTGAAGCGAATCGACTGCTTGTTATATATATATATACATATACACATTTATGTTCGGCTTCTCTAAATTGGCCTCACTGCTGCAGATCAGGACGATGTGAGTTCACTTAACGGACACTCCACATTTTGCCTATGATACTGTAGCCACATCTCCGGTCTTGGCAAGCTGCCGCCAATACTTACCCTTAGCTGGGCTGAGTTCGCCACTTTCGAGAGTCTCAAGGGTCCTTAGGTGTGGCTGTGGGTCAAAAATATGTACCCGAAGTGGCTTGCCCTGGTAAATGGAAACGTAGACAGCCTGCGTATCCTGGTGGTTGAATTTTGACCCGTGTGGGAAGCTTCAACCAGGCCGGGGCCAAGCAGTGCAGTGCTCCCCTTGGTCGCGCAGGGCCTCTTCAAGCCCGGCGCCGCGGCAGGGGAGCGACGGCTCCAGGCGGATCAAGGGGGTCGTGTCTAAGCACCACGGTTTGTTCAGAGGGCATCCGTCTCTTTGCATGCCTAGGAATACACATGTGGGTCAAAATTAAACCAACAGACCACAGGGTTTGGTCCATGGTTCCACTTACCAGGGTTCCATTTTGGGTACCTATTTTTGACCCACAGTCACATGGAGCTGTGGAGAAGGGGGATGTCTTTTGTGATGAGGGGGCAAGGATACCCTTCTTGATTCGGAGGTGCGTCCTTAATGTGACACGGGTATTTGGGTTGTCTGGTAAATCTGCCCCCCATCCCCCATCCCCCATCCCCCCTCCCCACCAATCCTAGCCACAGCCATGCACGATGTTCTGTTCCAGATATGGAATGTTGCCACGCGAGTTGAAGGACCTTGGCCATCCGCAGTTTCCTCCGCTTCGAATTTGGTGCTTTGGGAACTCGACTATTTGCCGCTTTGAATTCGAATTTTTGCCTGGAAGTTTTTTGCTTTGAGTTTTTGCTTGCAGTGTCCTCGCTTGATTCAAGACAAAAGGTGCTAGGCACCGGCATGAAGTTACTTTTTGTTCATCCAGGCCTAGAGCACGCTAGATTCAGTGTGAAGGTTGACAGGCACTCTATAGGCAATTGCAGAGGTCATGGCAGCCGGATTGAAGTAGCTGTGGGATTGAAACAGCTGTGCAGCGGTATCCCTTTTTCCCTGTCCGTTTGCGGTTTACCCTTCCTTAAGGCAACTTCCAGCGAAATCCATTGAGGCCATCCGGAGGCACCCTGTTCCTTTCTTGGATGTTTCACAACAAACAGATTAACCAAGGGCTGGCCCTGTTTTCCACAACGGCAAGCAAGTCGAAAGAATCGGTCGGGCTCGGGGTCGCCCAAAGCGTTGAGACCTGCAGAGCCGTGTGTGACACGCTTCCCAAACACGAGCCTCGCCTCGCCCGGGGGAATTTTGCGCTATCCTTCGTGACGAATTGCGTTCCAGTCCTGGAACTCCGCATGCTTAAACTTGGCGGCTCCCAGGCACCCCCTTAGCCTTTTAGCCTTTTGCTGTTTAGTGGTAGTTTCCATTTAACCCACTACAAGTTAAACTTTTAGCGGGGGGGATGTGAGGGAAGCCCAGTAAAGGCATTCGCGGCAACGCCAAAAAATCCAAGAGTTCCAGTGGGGAGCTGGTTCGCAGGACTTCCTGAAGAAGCGCCTGAAGAACTTTGCGCGGCTGCGCAATGACCCAAATGAAGAGGCCCGCTCAATGGCTCGAGTTTCTTGCGCTGGTGCTTGAGATACCGCTGAAACATCCATCGGTTCGCAGAAACACCAAAAACAGTCTCAGGCAAATCCACCTTGGTTTCGTTAACGAGAAAGTAACGTTGGACTTGTTGAAGCCAGCAGCATTCAGAAGTTGCTTTGGCCCGGCCCTTCTAGAGCCTCGAGATCGAAAACCCCACAGATCGCCCCGAGATCGCTGACCAAGGTCATCTGAAGCCAGGGTTTGAAGCAAGCCTGCAATGTAAAAGTAAAAAACATGCATTGGAAGGGCATGCAGCGGCACAACAACAAAGGAATACGAGACTGGCCATCATCACCCATTCTGCAAGCCAACAGCATGATCATCATGCTGACGTTTCGAGCCAGAAGAGTTCAATCCACCATGCATGCAAGGAAATGTGCGGAACTGTCAGGCATATTCAGAGACAGATGAAATAGTGACACACACACACAAACACGAACGCAAACACAAAGTCAAAGTTTCAAAGACACAAAAGAAAGACACATACACACACACACACACACACACACACACACACGAAAACAAGCACAAACACTACCTGGACGGTCCCTCGGAAAAGGTGGACGGTCCGGTTCGTCTTGCACGTTTCTTACTGCATTGGGTGGTGCGAGAGAGTTGGAAGCTGACAGCTTTCGCAGTCCAGCGGATTTTAAGCTGTACTCGATGGTGCTTCCTCATGGTGTTAACATTGTTCAAACAGGGAATCCCATCACAAGCGTGGTGCTCTTATTAAAAATGACACCGTGCTGCGTTCCTGCTCGCCTGCGTGCTTTCCTGGCCTCACGATTACTGTATCTCGTCACTTCTTTGAAGAGGGTTGAGTTCAGCTGATTGCACATGTTTTGCGGAGGGTGAGCCTCAGACCTGTTCCACTAGGCTTGTACAATCAGACGCGCTCATCCAAGTGAACCTGGCGTGAGATTTTAAGCTGCTCGCTCCCCTTAGCGCCTTAGCGCTTGTTTCTTCATCTCAGGCGGATGGGCATGTGACAGTATGTATCGAGGGGGAACCCCTTCTTTGGTGGCAGCAAGACATGGATTCGGGTTGAACACCTGAGGCAACCACAGATGTCAGCACACATTTGCATGTCCCAAACTACCGGGACCCCCTGACTGTCTCCTCCTTTCTTATTCCCTTTCTGTGGGTCAAATCCAGAAGAGTGGCGCATCCATTGGAGGTCCACACTCTGCTTGCTGTGAGGCCTTGTCTGGGTTGTCACCGTGGCTGAAGCAGTTGCCTCAGCATCCATCGTCCAAGCTGGTTGGAACTTTGTTTCAAGGGAAACCAACATGAAGCAGCAGAAACCTTTCTTCGTTCGGTGGGGTTTCTTTTGACAGGTTTTCCTCAGGGCAGTGGTTGCTGTGCTTAAGTTGACTGATAAGGATGTAGCTTCGGTATTTCAGGTGTCTGGGTGTCCAGTGTCCAGGAAAGTTCAGAAACTGCCTTCCTGGCACATGTTCGTCAGGATCCTCTCAAGAGACAACCTGTTTGCCATTAGACTCTTACATTTGCGCGGAACCAATGAGAAAGTGGAGGACATACGGTTCAAGTATACTTATTGAATTGGCCTTGAGCAGATGCGGATTCGAATCACATGTTGGGGGTTTTCAATTCAAGTGTTTCCATCCAGTTATTGAACTTTAGCTTATGTCGGTGCCTTGCTAAGATGTGCAACTTCCTCCAGCAAAAGTACGATTGTCGTACACATCAACAATACACATGAGACAAGGATCTGACGAACACACTTCTGGACCAACATGACACGTTGCATATGTGATGCGTATATATATATATATATATATGTATAGACAACTGCACATTCACGCATGCATGTAACTTTCTATGCCTATTCACATCACTGCACTCCAGCCACTTCAAGCCAATCTGGGGAACTTTGTCCAAGATGCGTCTCCAGTCAGGTTCGGGCAGATCTCGGCGCAGCGCTGCGCCCTCGCGGTCCGGAAGGCGGCGGTGGGTCCCAGGAAAAGCATGGCGCGTGGGGGGAGAGGCACATTGGCCAACTTTGAAAAGAACCTGGTGAAACAGAGAAACAGCTGGAGACAGGCGGCTGGAGCTGCTTCTTTTCAATAGTTCCAAGCAAAACACACACACACAGTCACCAAGCATACTGATTTGCAGACGATGTGCCAGCGGGTATGTTGACATGGGGCGCATGGGTGCTGAGCAAGCTTTTTCGAGCTCACTGCAAGTCAACGCGCAGCATGCAGGATCCATCGACGCGTATCCCTGCTTTGGGTCGGTTCTATCGACCCTGCGTGTCAGGGTCGTACGAGTTGTAGGACCTGCTACACTGCATTGGGAAGCGAAAAAGTCATCTGCCAGTGAACTGGATTTTGAAGCAACCATTGTAAGGCAAGGCTCAAGAACTCTATGTCGGCTCGGTTGTCATTCCATGTTCCTTGCAGCTGCTGGTTCGTTTTGGACCCCCCCCCAAAGGTGGCGTTTCTTCAGCCCCAAGAGGTGCTGAATCCACTTCCTGCAAGCCCCAGAACCTAATATTGAAACATACCAAGATGTGTCAAGCACCGGGTTATGTGGAATTGATAGTAGAGCAGACTGATTCTTACTTGGTTGGGCACGCCCAGTTTTGCTGGAGGGATCAGAATGCAACCAAACCCTGGGGTTGCCGAGCATTTCAAGGCATTCTGCTGCTGGGACACACACCTTTCTCTGAACCAACATGCCAACTCCAATATCAGGCAGCAGAGAGCTTGAATTAACTCAACCACGTGTGGTTTGCTTCCTAAAAATGTGTTACGAATGAAAAATTCGCATCCATGCAGTATGTTGGTGCTCAATGAATCCACAGGGTCCCTTGAGAGAAACAGGTTTTCGAAGTCATTGAAGCAACGTTTGATTCGTGGGGTCTCTGTATGTCTAGGGTGACTGACGGACAGATGTGTCCTAGTTCAGGAAAATTGATCAGTGAAGATCGTGAAGCCTCGTTCCTCCACTTCCTGCCATAATTGTAGATGTTAGGCCCTGTACGGGTTTGTGCTTGGTAAAAGATTAGTTGACTGACACATTACAGGTTCCTATAGGGGACCAAGCTGCACCATGAGTATGTCACTTTCTGAACCGTAGTTTATGTTTGTTTTCCTGAACTTCCTGCACCCGTACTAACTTTTTGGCAAGATCATTGTAGAAGAAAGAGCGCACATCTGCCGGGTCTTTTGTTGCATTTCTCTACCCAGGTGGGTCTTCCTTGCTTCAGGCTGCCAAAGGTGCAGCCAAAGCCGGCAGCGAGTCCTTCTTGGAGGAGGAGGGTTGGGTGTCCTGAGGGCATGCTGAGTTGGGTTGATTTCAAGGTCAAAGGGAAAACCCCCGTCTCCCCACTAGTGGATGATTCACACACACACACACATCATCGCCAAAAAGTGGGCCGCTTGTAGGAATTGGTTGAGGTTCACGCCCATATTTCTTAAGAAGCAAGATGTTGGTGAAATGTTCACATGAAGCCCATTCCCCTGATTTATTCATGCCACGTTGGGTGTGTGATTTGATACGCCTGGGAGGTGCTGGGCGGGGTCCAGGTGTCCTGTTGGCCTTTCCAAGGGATCAAACAGACGCATCTCCACGGGCGAACGTTGCACTTTTGGCTTCCAAGTTCCTTCGAAAGGACGGACGACTTTCCACATCGACCCTTCCTTTTGATGACCGGGTTGGCTTTTCTTCGCTTTGTGGTACCTGGGTAGATCAGTGAGCCGGATTCAAGAGTCCAGGGGTTGACTCCGATTCCATTCTGTTCAATCATCGTTCTTTTCAAAACCTGCCGTTTTCCCTGGGTTTCTGGAGGTTTTCCGGAAAGAAGGATCCCTGGAAAGAATGGGGAAGGTACCCCTAGAAAGAGGTTCCAAGATGAGCCTGGTCTACCTCTTGGCAACAAAAATGATGCTTCCGCCAGTCCGTGGTCCGGCGAGAGCTGTCTGACAACTACTGCTGGTACAATCAGAACTACGACTCCTTGAAGGCGAGAGACTGAAACATGGGTGGTGTTATCTTGGTTTCCCTACCTCCATTTGTTTAAGAATATTTGTATTTCCCCCTGTTTTGAAGGAAATCCATATGAGCCACAATCAATACCTGGGTAGATGAAGGTTAGTAAGGGACAATCCCAACCATAAATAGCTGCGGCCGCCTTCTTAATTCTTTACATGGTTCTGGGTGGACCATTTTAGTACCAGGTTTTGATTATGACTCATATGACTATTGGACATATTATGTGTATTTTTCCCCAGGGGGCGAAAACGTCTGGCCAAACCAGAAGGGGCCTGAAAAAGAGGCACAGAAAAGCGGCGGCCCGCCCTTGAAGCCACATTAACTCCATTGGAAGCGGTGGGCTTGTCGCTTTTCTTCAAGATGGACTGCGCTGGGTCCAGTGGCTCCTTCAGGTCTGGCGTGGTAAACCCCGCGTGCAAAAACTCGCCTGGCCGGGTCCTGCAAATGTGCTAACGATCCAGCCAAGTTTTCGGATTGTGGTTGTACAGGGCTCCTTAAAAGATACAATTTTGCAACCATTTGAAACATGGCTTGTTCCACAAAAAAAAAGGAAACCACCAATTACAAGGCAATGTTCAGGTGCACAATGTAAGGATCCCTGTTGTAGGGATGGACTGCAAGCTGCTGTTACATAAAAAACTCTTGGGAACAGCGTTCATCTTAGGTGGGAGGTTTGACCTTTGGCATGGATATTTGAATGGTGCAGGTAGATGGTGTTTCGGGTCCATGCCGGTACTTTGTTGCTTCTAGCGGAATGGGAGTGCCGCCTGGCGCTGTGAGGTATGGTTGGTGGGTGAGGCTGCTAGAGGCCTTTCTCACACCTCGTCCCCGATTGTATCATATTGGTGGCTTTCTGTGCCAGTTTGAAGATAAGAATTGCGCGTTGAACGCCCCATGTTCAAATATTTTGATGAGCGCCCATGCCACGCGAGGCTTTCTTTCGACCTTGATTCATGAACTGACCCGGGAAGAACGTGCTTGTAAGTCCGCACGACTCCCAAGCCCCAACTTCAGAAGCGGCGAGTCTAGCATGTCGCTTTGCCAATGCGAGTCTTAGCCGCTTCCTGAACGACCCTCACTTGGGAGAAGGCGCTGTGTGCATACGTATTTCTTCACATGCGTAGTCCGCGCGTCAAGCATTGTTGGCCTGCTTGTTCATGAACATCTTTGCTCGCCGCCCTAGCTGTGTTTGGGCTTACATATTGAGGCTTGTAGCATGCTTTCTGGCGAAGCTGCTCGCTTGTTTAGTATGTGACGTGTATGGAACGAGGAATCAACAGGGCAAGCGCTTCGCGTTCTCAGCTCTGAGCATGAGGCTTTGTGCTAGCGAGTGACTTCCATTTGGTTAAGAATATTATTATATTTTCCACTTTTGGTTTTAAAGGGATTCGATTTCACTGCTGGAAACATGTTCTCATTTTTCCAGGGGGCTTCAGGGTGAGTGTTGGCAACCATGTTCGTTCCCCACTTAAGCGTTGCGCAGCGCGTTGCCCAGGGAGCTGCAGCCTGGGCAGCGGGCCTGGCAGAAGTTGAGCTGCTGGCGTTGAAGCTGGGCGTTGCTCCATGCGGATGGACCAATTCCACTTCGCAGCAGATGGTTCTAGGGGTTGACTCCGTTTCCATTCTTTTCAGCCATCGGTTTTTTCTTTTTTTTCAAGAATTAGCCGCTTCTCCAGGGTTTTTGGTGGTTTACTAGAAAGAAGGATCCCTGGAAAGAATGGAATTGGAAGTTACCCCCAGAATTGTAGGTGGCTTATCCCATGACTTATAGGGCTTCATCTATCCCAAGTGGTGCGAAATGGATTTCGTCCACCTATTTCTGCAAATCGGGGGCTGTCTAGAATTGCCCAGCACCACTCACAGGGGTACAACGAGCATGTTGAAGGACACACATGTGTGGTTGTTCTGACTGAGGACTAAGATTAGTGCCCAAATCATGCTGCTCTCCCGGACTTGCGGAAGGTAAATCAATCACACCGCTCTCCCGGACTTGCGGAAGGTAAATCAGATCGCAGCCAAATCAGATCGCAGGCAAAAGGACACTGATTGACCAACAGCAATGCAGGATTGCTCCAACCCGTCAAACCTTCGGTCAATCGTTATAGGTGGAACCTCCGCTTGGGGGATAGGTATGTGCCACGAAGAAATGATCCAGTTGAAGCACCAAAAACCATCCCGCGAGTCAGAAGATGTTGATTCGTGGTTGGGCACCTTTGGGGGAATTCCTTTTCCCCAGGCTCGAGCCATCTACTCTGAAACTGGCCACGAACTCAAGCTCCGTGAGGTAGCCACAGCGTTCCACAATTCGGGTTCACTGGTGACGGGACAGAATACCAGCAACTCGGGGCCCATACTTTGGACAATTCAAAAGTCCCTGGAGAGGGCACCATGAGATCTGAGCATCGCAGATGTGTTTCTCCTTCTTTGCCAGGTTGAAACCCTGAAGAAGCACTCCAAGGAGACCGCGCCAGATGACAGATCGTTCAAACCCCGTTTGCGTCTTGTGTTTGCCTGTGTATTTTCTCTGGATTTGTCTTCCAATGCATGTATTTCTGTGTGTGTGTGTGTGTGTGCTGCTTGTCTTGTGCTTGTGCTTGTGCTTGTGTTTGTGTTTGTGCTTGTGTTTTGTGTTTGTGTTTTTGCTTGTGCTTGTGCTTGTGATTCTGCTTTTGCTTGTGCTTGTGCTTGTGTTTGTGTTTGTGTTTGTGTTTGTGGTTGTGGTTGTGTTTGTGTTTTTGTTTGTGTGTTTGTGTGTTTGTGTGTTTATGTGTTTTTGTGTTTGTGTGTTTGTTTGTTTGTGTGTGTCTGTGTGTCAGCGTCTGTGTCTGTGTCGGTGTCGGTGTCTGTGAGGGTGTCGGTGTCTCTGTCTGTGTCTGCGTCTGCGTGCGTGCGTGCGTGCGTGCGTGCGTGCGTGCGTGCGTGCGTGCGTGCGTGCGTGCGTGCGTGCGTGCGTGCGTGCGTGCGTGCGTGTGTGTGTGTGTGTGTGTGTGTGGGTGCGTGTGCGTGCGTGCGTGTGCGTGCGTCTGTGTGTGTGTGTGTGTGTTTGTCTGTGTGTGTGTGTGTGTGTGGGAGTGCGTGCGTGCGTGTGTGTGTGTGTGTGGGTGCGTGCGTGCGTGTGCGTGTGTGCGTGTGTGCGTGTGTGTGTGTGTGTGTGTGTGTGTGTGTGTGTGTGTGTGTGTGTGTGTGTGTGTGTGTGTGTGTGTGGGTGTGCGTGTGCGTGTGCGTGTGCGTGTGCGTGTGCGTGTGCGTGTGGGTGTGCGTGTGCGTGTGCGTCTGCGTGCGCGTGCGCGTGTGCGTGCGCGTGTGCGTGTGCTTTGCGTGTGCGCGTGCGCGCGTGTGCGCTTGTGCGCGTGCGCGCGTGTGCACGTGTGCGCGTGTGCGCGTGTGCGCGTGTGCGCATGTGGGCGTGTGGGCGTGTGCGCGTGTGCGCGTGTGCGCGTGTGTGCGTGTGTGTGCGTGTGTGCGTGTGTGCGTGTGTGCGTGTGTTTGTATAAATAAATATATATACATATATATATATATACATACACATATATATATATATATATATCTGCGTGCGTGCGTGCGTGCGTGCGTGTTTGCGTGTGTGCGTGTGTGCGTGTGTGCGTGTGCGTGTGTGTCCGCGTGTGTGTGTGTGTGTGTGTGTGTGTGTGTGTGTGTGTGTGTGTGTGTGTGTGTGTGTGTGTGTGTGTGTGTGTGTGTGTGTGTGAGTGCGTGCGTGCGTGTGTGTGTGTGTGTGGGTGCGTGCGTGTGTGCGTGTGCGTGTGTGCGTGTGTGCGTGTGTGCGTGTGCGTGTGCGTGTGCGTGTGGGTGTGCGTGTGCGTGTGCGTGTGCGTGTGCGTGTGCGTGTGCGTGTGCGTGTGCGTGTGCGTGTGCGTGTGCGTATGCGTGTGCGTGTGTGTGTGTGTGTGTGTGTGTGTGTGTGTGTGTGTGTGTGTGTGTGTGTGTGTGTGTGTTTGTTTGTCACCCTATGGCTGTGAATTTTGATGGGGAACCAACTCCAAACCGGTTGTGGACAAATACATCCCCACCGAATTCTGATGTCCACCAGGGGGTCCCCGAGAAAAGAAGAATCACTTCCGTATCTTCATTCACTGAAAAAAGGGTGGGGGTACAGGGCCTACGAGCTAGCTCTGTGCCAGGACAAGCGTGAGCATGTCTACACCAGGAAGCAGCTGGAGCAGGTGCAAACAGTTTCATGTCTTCCAGCTGAAGTCACCGGCCGATGTTGTTATCCACATACTTGATTTGTCTACTGTTTGCGGGGAACTGTGTTCTTCTATATTTTGCTTGCGGGAGACTGGGATATACTATGATACTAGTTTCGCCTATCAGATGGATTCACTCATATGAGGCACTGACAGACAATATCATATGGTTTTGGAAGGACAGGGACAGCTGGGGGACAACCCAAATCCCCCGCAAACTTATGAACTTTGGAAAAAGGAACCAGCAAGTTTGTCCGTTGCTTATGTAGATGCTGACAAAACTCAGACACAGGCGAAGACCCACGATGAGCTGTGGAACGCGCAGGGGCGCCTGACGCGAAGGTTGAAGGAGGGAAATCGGTGCGAAATCGGTAGGGGATGGAAAAAATGGAATGAACCCAGGTATCCTCTTGACAGGAAACCACTAGTTGGATGGTTAGTTTATGTCAGTCCATTTCTCATTCCTTGCATCTCTCGCACCGCCAAGGTCCTTCTTAGAACGGTTCTAAATGTCGTTTCTTGATTGGAGCAGCAAGCCCACTTCATCCCTTGAATTGGCAGAAGGGTGCAGAAGCAGCCACAAACCTCTAGGCGATTTCAGTCCGGTCATGGGACCTCTCAGACAGATATTGAAAGGAGGCAAAGCATTGCCTTGAGGCCTGTCACAAGAATTAAGATGTCTAGCTCGGAGTTGCCCACAGGTCTGCTTCCCTTCCATTGCAGCACAGGAATCATAGACTCCCAGGTAAAGCCGTCGACTGCACTTGGAGGTTGGTTCCTTCCTTCTGTCAGGATGTGCGTTTTGCTCTCTTTGTTTATTTTCGCATCTCGGTTGGGCCTCGGGCGGTTGGGGGACTTTTTGTTTATCACTTTGGGGCCAAGGCCTGAGGCCCGAAAACTCGCCAGAAACAAATTCTTCGACTTCAGAGGGCTGGTTTTTCCAAGTGAGAGGCTGGAAGTTCATGGCGTGTATGTGCTTCCCTTTAACCCTTGGGAGCTCCGGGCAAGATGGCGGTTGTTTAAAACACAGCCAGGCGTAAACCCGGGCAATTGGAGATTTGGTTAAGGCTGCCCAACGACTGGGTGAGGTTTGCGGCTTTTGTGATTCCTCACATGGTTGTGCTCATGTGATACCCAGATTTTGTTGTGACTCAACAGGCCCCCGTTCTGGGTTTTGTGGCCTTTTTCCCACGAATCAATCTGACTGACGTGACCTGACGTGCTGGTTCAACCCGGTGTTGATCCATGTTGTGGACCTTTCATTTGGCAGTGGCCCAAAAGATCGGCGTTCCTTCGTTGTCCCATGTTTCAGCCCTCGAGAGTGAGTCTCACCTTTGGGAGATTGAGTCTCACGCTTGGAGCACGCATTTGCAGGGCTCAGAGGCAGATGATGACGGAAGGCGGGACATGTGGCCAGTGATATGTTGCATCCTCTTTGGGATGTTCAACTTTTGCTGGGTCCTTTCCTCGAAACCCCCAACAAAACACCCCTGCTATACATTTGGGAGAATCATTCCCTGTTCAGTGCTCAAGGACCTTCCAGGAGCTTTGCCTCCTGTTTTCTTTTTCGGCAAAACAACTCACAGAGACCGAGAGACCGAGCCACAAGACTTCCATGGCGGCTTGGCCCACCGATGATTGGGAATGGGACTCCTTTTGGGTGCACGGATTCAATCAGCTTGGCCATCAGACGCAACGGCCCGACGCAAGAAAGCCGGCTACATCAGACACAAACACAAGCACATATTATACACGCACATTAGAATAAAGCTGGGGCGGTTATGATCAGCGGGGGGTGGGGGAGCATGCGCGAGGGAGTTTCAGCACCTTGTATTTATAACATCGAAGAGAATTGGCATGTGCATTCCTCTTGAAAAGCAAAGCTATAGGGGCCCATGGTCTTGACGCACATCACCCCGGGGCAGTCTTTGGACGGTACGAGGTGGGCAAGGTTGGAGCCAGCCGATTGAGAACACAGTTGATAGCTCCAACGCGATCTTTGTTTCAAGGGATTTGTCAGGGCGACGGCATTCTTGAAATTTGCTCCCGGCAATCTATGGTTGAGAGTGTTCCCCCGTTGCGGGTGGGAGTCCATTTCATTCCCATTCTGAAGCACAGTGATGTATTTCATGGGAGGGGCACCCCTGTGTCAGTTTGGAAGGGTGAGCTTTGGCGCTTTTGCATGGATCCTCACTTGGACTCGAATCGGACGCAGGGAAGATGCACGGCTTCCTGCGGATGTATTGGGCCAAGAAGGCTGGATGGTGTAATCTATGTGTTTCCAAAGAATCACCCTTCTGGAACCCTCAAAAGCAGGGCCCTGACTTGACTGGTTGTGGACTTTGCCCCAATCCATTTTGATTTGGACCATGTTTGTCTGCCAAAAGAAGAGCAAGCTCACCGATTGAGGACTAGCCGAGCCATTACATCCTGATCAACTAGCCAAAGGGTAGATATCAGCTGTTGGAAGCCATCTCGGGAACCTCTCAAATGCCAAGCATAGTCCCCCCATTCTCATTCGTGGTTCCTGTGCTTATGCTTCGAGACTCATGGTGCTTTCAGACCTTTGTGGGCTTGCCGACTCTTGGCATGTATGCTATGGTTGCCAAAGGGAGTTGTGGGCATCCCTGGTAGCAAACAGTTTGGAGAGTGACTCCACTTGAGCCAAAATCAAAACCCGGGTAGATGAAGGTTAGTAAGGGCCATTCCCAGCCAGACATAGTTTCGGCCGCCTTCCTCATTCTTTACATGGTTCTGGGTAGACCATTTTAATACCGGGTTTTGATTGTGACTCTACTTGGCGAGAGTAAAATGGCTCATGACCAGGTCTACAAGTGCCCATTGTTCTCTTGACAGGAAGAGTGGGTCTCCAATCCGAGTGAGCAGTGCCCAAGCCACCTTTGGTTGAAGTAAGGGCGCAGAGGCTCTTTCTGGTTGGAGAGCAATGCGGGAAGTTCAAAGTTTTCAACACCGTTTGGAGCCTGGCATATCAGCTACATTTGACCAGCTTAAAACCTTGTCAACCACGATGGACTTCCTCGGCCTCCTTCCGAGTGTTCAAGCACTTGGCGAGCCAGGTGCTGGAGTGGAGCAAAGCGCCGGCGGCGGCGCTGGGGAATGCCATCTACCTCAACGACCGCTACAACCTCGACGGGCGCGCCCTACCGCGACCGAACATGTTCGCGAAAACAGGATGCTTGAGCCAGTTGAGTGAAGGACTGTGGAGGTTTGAGGAATGACACGCATGGCACTCTGATGAACGGACACTTCGAGTTGGGGATGGGCTCTTGCAACAAACAGACCAGTGCTCCCCGCGCAAGGCGTGATCCCAATGGCTATGTGGGCTGCATGTGGTCTATTTGCGGCGTGTGTGGGCCCCAGACATAGATCGGTGTCGGAAAGGCCGAGTGCCCGGGAGGACACCAGGTCCCAGTTGCGATCTTCAGGTTGGCCTGTCCGCAAATGTCTCGTTTCTGAAAGGTGGGGTGCTTTGGCGAGATACATGTTCTGTGCTCACTTTCTGGCAAGCTCTGGCAAGTTGAGCTCATCCCAAAGGTTCCTTCTACATCTGGCTTTTTTCTCGTTGATTTGAATTCAGATGCTGGAACCCTGAAGCGCCCAAAGCCGTCTGAGCATTGACTGACTTAGAGGCGATCTTGCGTCCTTCAGGGTGATCTCCTGTCCCACTGAAAGTTGGCGGTCAGAATTTGCTGAGGCACGACATGGGCTGGCCCGAGCGGAAGATCTTCGGAAAGATTCGGTACATGAACTACGAGGGGTGCAAGCGCAAGTTCAAGGTGGAGGAGGGGAAGACCAGGGAGACAAAATCGGTCCAGGTCAGCCCAGACCTCATGCCTTTGTAGGTGATCTTCTTTCTTTCTTCTTTTTTTTTTGGGGGGGGGCTTTTGGGGGGGGGGAGCGGATCGCAGGGGTACTTGAACTGGGAGATGCGCTGCTAGATCGCGAGTTCGTGGGAGACAAAGACTTGCTCTGCAGAAATCCTCAAATGAGGATGAATGAGGCTGAAGAAAAATCCTTGGATGAGAGGAGTCCGACAACATGGTAAAAGGCTACAATGGTCCTTAATAGTTTCGTGCGCTTAGCAATACTCCCTTGGCAAAGAGTTCATTCTTGTTGGTCATTCGGCTACTTGTCAGAACTAGGAGGCCACTTTGTTCCTTGCACAGGGAAATCAAGATGAAGCGGTTGCCATTTGGAGATGTCCTCGATGTGAAATGGAAGCGTTGTTGGCGCTTTGCTTTGGGGTAACCCTGACTCGTTTTGACCGCACGGCTGCGCCTTTTGTTTTGGGTTTGACTGCTGTGCGGTTTTGCAAGGAGTTTGAGCAGCGCTATCCGGTCCGGTGCTCAGACGCAGGTGAGGGGAAGCCAAGCATCAGGTGACCCTTGGCTTGCGGGAGGAAGTGAAGTGTAGCGACAGCTAGCAGGGCCACCGCCAGCCAGCGAGCCGCTGGGTGAGGTTTTTGAGCGCCATATGCCATGAGAGTCACCTACAAATAGGCGGGCCAGAGCCACGCTTCAAGATGAATTGGACCCTGTCAGATGGGTTTCGTCGCGGTAACCTCTTTGACTTTCCCCAGAAGGGTCCTGGGTTGTGACACATGTCCATACGCAAAGAAGTACGTAATTCACATACCTTTGGGCGCAGGTCAACCCAAAAGCGAGTCTGGTTATCTGGACAGTTGGACCATGACCTGCAACCCAGAAGTTGCCTGATTTCTCGTTGTCTGATGCCCACAAGCAGGTTGTGCCACCTCACCCGTGGCGCATGGCTTCGTCATCCCTGATATAGCCAGTCTTTTCCACCAGGAGTTTTCTCGCGGCGCATTATAGGAGCTTCCAGGCATGGCGATCTTTCCATCCGAGGCGCCCGCGAAAAGGCGCGGGATGTGCGGATCCTGGTGGTTTCAGCAAAGCCGAGTTGGCCAGCAGTGGAGTGTGCCGGCTGCTTGAGGGATTGTTGACCCGCCACACAAACGCTCAAGACCAGGGAGGCGAATGGTGTGGATGATCACATGGGCTGTAAAAAGTCTTCGTTTGGCAGGCCATTCTTGGTTCTGCCTCTTCCGTGCTTCCCGCCCAAAAAGAGCAAGACAAGTACCATCCAGTAAACTCACTGGACCGCTTAATTCGGTTTTCTAGGGGTACTTTCCCCATTCTTTCCAGGGATCCTTCTTTCTAGAAAACCTCCGAAAACGCAGGGAAAACGGCTGGTTTTTGGAAAGAACGATGGTTGAAAAGGATGGGGAATCAACCCCTAGAGGTTTGGCAAAAAGTAAGTGCCTGGAAGGGCCTTCTTGAATTGATCATGGCCTCATTGAGCGGTCAGAATTCACCGATATGCGCGTAAAGGGATGACGTGGGCATCAGCTTTCCGGTGTACTCACCCAATTCTCTAAGCTGGACACATAATGCCGAACGCTTGAGGGGGCGATCGGGCACTTAGTAAATGGATAGTAAGCCTGGTTCTTTGCCCACTTGCTAAGTACAGTGCCCGTTTAAGTATTGAGTCTGGCTCCTTTGCAGCCGGTTCGCCCGGCCTTGTGGCCAGGTCTCGGAAGAGCTGAGGAGTACCGAGTACGCCGGCCGCGTACGGGCTCCCTGGGATTGAATCGCTGGTTTTTTGACAGGGGTTGCCTTTCGACTTTTTTTTGGGTCAGCTCTGGAAGTGTTATCCCCCTTTTTAGGGGGTCTCCTCTTCATCGTGGAGATCAAAATGCAAGGGGACCAGTACGCCCCACACAGAGAGTGAGCACAAGCTAGAGCTGGGTAGGACAACCAGATGCGGCTGAAGAACCCAGCACTCTCGCGAGAAACAAGCGACGCGCTCCTTTTGAATAGAGTGGCAAGTCATAGATTGAATTTCTGCTTGAGGCGATCTGGGGGGTGGGTCTCCTTCGGAAGGTCGTTTGGCTTGAGATCCCGTGTCTCAGACCCAGCCTCGGGATCGCCGTATCGCGCTTTGCGACCACTCGTGGGATCAGGCGGGAAAAGAGATCGAGCTTGTGCTGCAGATAGTTTAGCCGCAGAATCTGACTTTGGCACAAAGGCGCGAGCGCCTTCCCGGGCTTGCTCCCACCAGGAGCAAACAACCACCAGCCAGTCGTTTTTTTTACCCGAAAGTGGACCCAAAATCGTTGGAGAGAACAGGGCCCGACTTGCTGGGCCTTCTCCATATGCTCGGGTCAAAACCGTGTTGGGATCCCATTTTGGTTGGTAGGTGAACTCACCACCCATTTTAGAACCTATTTTAGTGGGAGGTTCTCCGGGGGCTTTTCTCGGGGTTTTGACTTATGGCCTTTGTTGGCAAAGCGGGCCAGGAGTTGGGCTTGCAAATCAGCTGATCCTAGTCTGAACCTGAGCACGCCGTGGTGTGGCATCGAAGGGCCATGGCGTTGGTCTTTCCAGCCTTGTCCGAAACCACACTAGGTCCCCCAGTAGTTTCCTTTTACCCTTTTTTGGGAGGGCTCCCCTAAAATAGACTACAGAAAAAAGGGTACCCTTATTGACCCTTATCCTCTCTATTGGAGGACCTAGCACAGGAATAGGGGAAATGGCGCCACTCAAAGCAGCCACCATGCTGCGCGAGTTGCCACCTCAGGTTAATCATTGGGCGAGTGAGCACATAGTCATCGCAAAGGTGAATAATGATTGAACACTGTTCTGTCCAGCAAGGCACAGTGAGTCTTGACATGTGGTTCAAATATGAAATGGGTATGTCCGTCTTGACAGTAGTAGAAGTCCTCATGGCCGGCTTTATGGTTTCTCCCCCTGGAAAGAACCTTTGCGAAGGTTAGAAGTAAATTGGCGCATGTCCACCCAAATGTTCTCGAGCTATCCGCATAAGTTCCTTGCCACAAGAAGCCATGGCTGATAGCAGGGCTCCTTAAAAGATACATTTTGCAACCATTTGAAACATGTTGCTTTTTCAACACCAAAGTAAAGGGAAACAACACCATTTACAAGGCAATGTTCAGGTGTATAATGTAAGGATCCCTGGATAGTTTCTTGCTTTTGACATGTAACCTATTCGACCCAGTGGTCCTTGGGGGTTTGGCAGCAGCTTTCCAGCACGAACTCAGTTGTTCAGTGGCACCAATTTGTTTTCCCCATTTTTTTTGTGGCTGCCCCACTAAAAATGGTCTTCCCCCAGAAGGGTTCTCTTTTTTTCCATCACTGAACCACTGAGCAAACTATGGTAGTGGGGCTTGGAAACCCACTTTTCGTCCGCACACTGAGGTTGCATGCTAGGGCTGAGTGATCTCCAGATCCGCCGGCCCAGTTGGCCCAAATTGGGTCCATCAGATACCGAACTGCGTAGAGTTGTGCACTGCGGTTTGGCCCGCAGTGGCGCAGGCCGGGTTGAGTCGCTCACCTAGGACCTAGCCCACTGTATGGGTGAAAGGTATCCCAAAGACAGGTAAGCCATTGGAATCGGTCACACCAATATTGGGCGGTGACAAGGATGGAACATGTGTCATTTTCCTCTTAAAACTTGCAGGAACCGCCCGTGAAGTTTCACAGTCCTCTTTCGATGCACTACAGTCCATTTGAAAAGGAAGCCTCTGCACCTCCAGGCGCTTAGGATATTCAATGTTTCTAGGTCCCCCAGTGGTGCCCTTCTTAACCCCTTTTTTGGGAGAGGGTTCCCCTACTAAAATAGACTACAGAAAAAAGTTGGCAGCCTTATTCTAACCTCTCTACTGGAGGACCTAGGTTTGCATGTTGGGTATTGGGATATCGGGGGCTGTGGGTCAAAAATAGGTGCCCAAAATGGAACTCTGGTAAGTGGCAACATGGACCAAAACCTGTGGTCCCCTGGTTTAATTTTGACCCACAGCCATCTAGTGATTCGTGAAGGCGGTCTTACGCACATATCTGTGTCTTGATTCGTCCTTTGTCCATTGATTGGCTCAAGAGGTTAAGGTCACCCCATTTCGAGAGCCACCAAACCAACCGGCGCCCCTGGGCATGTGTCAGCTTCGTTTCACCGTGGTGTGTGACTTTGGCATTCCCATGAGCCGTTTCCCCACGCATCCAAGTTCCTTGATGGGACCCGGTCCGACGTTGTGCCGAGCATCGAAGAGGTGAGGAGTGAGAGCAATGTCTAGCGAGCTAGACTCGGCTAGGCAGTTGCATGACATGCAACACATGTTGATGGCAGACCCAGAAACAGAGGCAGATTCTTACTGGATCATACCACAAGGCATGCTCTCTGCACTTATAGCTAGATTCATGTCATCTAGGCACAGACTCTGCGTCACTGGGGAAGTAAAGCAGTATGAGTCAATGGGTGGAGCATGAGCATGCAGTGTCAATGTCATTCTGAGTTTGCGTTCGAAGTGTGAAGAAACCACTACGGGAGGAAGATTCGAATCCATGTTACGACGCCCTTTTGTTTGACCTTTAAGCATTTTAACCTTTTGACAAGTTCCCGGGGGGTTGCGTTGGGGCCAAATCGTTCCGCCTTCTAGGGGCCTGCCGCATCCTGAGCTACACCGGCAGGCTTCCCTGACGGTCACCCTGATGGTCACCCACTTAATTAGCCAGCACCCTCCAGAGGCCACAAACGCCATTTTTCCAGCCCATCGTTCTTTTCAAAAACCGGCCGTTTTCCCTGGATCTCTGGAGGATTTCTAGACAGAAGGATCCCTGGAAAGAATGAGAAAGGTACCGCTAGTATTTTGTGTTCCCCCGAGCAAAGTTCGAGCTCGCAGTTGATTTCTCCTTTGACAGGTGCTGGAAGTGATCTACTAGGTACCCTAGTAGTGCCCTTCTTAACCCCTTTTTTGGGAGGGTTCCCCTACTAAAAATAGACCACTTCTTCTAACCTCTGCTGGAGGATGCATGTTCTCGTGCTCCGCCTGTCACGCTCTGTGTTTGCCCCGGCCCCGTGGCCGCAGGCGCCGCGCTTCCAAGCGGCCATGCTGAAGGAGGGGCTGGGTTGCGCCTAGGAGAGCCAGCACGAAACCGACACCAAAAAAAGGTGTTTTTTTTTTTGTGTGTGTTTTCTTTGAAGAAAAGGAGTGAATACCAGAGGCAACCACTATTGACTCTGCAGTTGATTCTTCATCCACCTTGAAGAAAACAAGCCCAGAACCAGAGATGCGTGCACATGAGAAGTGGGTACATCAAAGTGGACAACAGAAGCCAAGAGCAGCGGCAACAAAGACAGTGGCCTCCCGGTTCCAATCCCATGCGCAGGCCCTGCACACCATGCAGCTGGAAGTAGAAGCCGTGCAGGCGATGAGTCCGGGGGTTGCATGAGCTGACAGAAACCCAACGCCAACCACTTGAAGGCTTGTCAAATTCGTTCCTCGTAGCCCGCGGATCTAAAGACGGGCGGAAGATGATACCGATGTGGGTGTTGAATGGAGCTGCACCTGTTCCCGACTCGCCGATATTCAGGGATTGTCCTGGTTTCAAACGGGCATGTGTCAAAGAAGAGGCCCTTTTCTGGTGCAAGGCATGAAGGAAGACCGACTTGAAACCAGCGATTTGAAGAAATCGCTAGTTTCAATGAATTCCCGAAGTGTCGCTTTCTGTGTGCGGAGAAGAGAAGCCTTTGTATTTGAATTTCTTGGTTGGACTTCTCAGTTTTGAGGTTTATCGATTGGCTACCAATCACAGCTTGTTGCCAGTATACCAAGCATTAGAAGGCTCGTTGTTTCCTGCTTTGTGTCTTCCGGTTGGTTGCGCGGCCACGCACAAGAATGAGTGCAGTACCCAGAACGGCAAGCCCTTTCCCCCCATGGAATACCACAGACAAAAGTCAAACAACAAGCCATAGCTCCACACAACTCTCTGCTGTTTGTGATGTGGTATTGCTTGCAATCTCTTAAGCCACAGGACGATAAGTTGCGGAACAGGTGCACAATCCAAACATCCAAGTGGGAGCCGTGGGTGTTGATATATCCATAAGCAGTGCTTAGATCTTTTTCAAGTCATAGAGGGTGAGCTGTAATTGAACTAGTAGATCTGCTGCTTGTTTGGACCCGTAGACACCTCCCTTCTTTTCCTTTGCCATGCCCTCCTCCGCTCCCGACCAGCCATTCACAGCAACTGCCCAATGGCAACCGGCCAGAAGGGGAGGTCAAAAACCCAAAAAACCTCCCATTAAGAAAAAAACCACACACACACACACACAAGGGAAAAAAAGAAGCCGAAAAACGAAGATGCAGACCCAGCCCTGGTATCTTCCGACAAGCCGGGGGTCTTCAGAAGCCCTCCTTGGCGCTGCCAAGCGCTCTCAGAAGGAACCGAAGCGAGCCTGTAGCAGGAAACCTCTGGTGTCTCCGAACTTGCGAGGCATGGGACTAGGCCACGGTTTCTTGGGCAAAACCTCGAACAGCAGGGTTGTGGGATCAAGGGGTTTTTCCAACCACTCCTGTAATACAAGGGATTATCCTCTTTATGTGGCAGGTTTGTCTTTGGGAAGCCCTTTTTGTTGTATCACAGAAGTGGTCATTTCCCACAGCCCTGATCAAAAGAGCACTGGTATTCTAGGTTTTCATCTGGGCTCCCGTAGACTCCTAAGGTCGGGGAGAGTACCTCGTATTGTTTGCGGAACAGGACATCAAAATCAGTAAGAAATACAGACAATTCCAATTGACGCTCAGAATGAGACAGTGCTGGTGTCTTGTGTCTTTTTGGTTTGAACCAAAGTAGTCACCTGTGTTTGGGCAGCGCTCCCTTTCCGTTGGGCAAGCCTTGTCAGGTCACCATCAGACATGGGGCGATGCCATTAGGGGAAGTCCTTGCGCCGAAATAATCCACACCAACAGTCCAGGGCGAACAATTTCGGGTACACCTTCCTTGCTCCCAGCAAAAATCACAACCACTGCATTTGGCCAGCCAGCACAAAACCGCTACCCAGACCGAGCAGCACAAGCCCACTCCAGCCGAACACTCCCAACCCCAAGCCAAATGCCAAACCCCGAGACCAGGGCCACGTGCGTGGTGCCTGGCTTCAGCTGGGCACCTGCACTCCAGACAAGGCGGGAAGGCAAAAAATGGGGCCAAAAAGGGGTGGCTCTGCCGTTAGACATGAGATTTCACCATGGCAGTTGTTTCCTGATGCATTGCTTTGATAGGTTCACCTGTATCTGAGACCTAGTGGCGTTTTCTATTTCTCGGAGAAACATGAGGAGAAACCCAAGACTCCAAGACGCATCTCAAAATAGACAAAACCCCCCACATTGTGATTCGCTCCCAAAATAGGGTTTCCCTTTAAAATTGGACCCACACAAAGGGGCCAAAGATGAACATGACCATGTTGAGGTTGCAAGGGTTTTTAGCTCAGTGGACGCATGAGCAACACCGGTAACACCGCTCAGTGACTCCGAGATTCCTGCCTCAACACCCGCCAAGACTCAAGACTATTCATTTGCGTAGGCTGCCTCCGTAGCCCACCATGTCAAGGATTATGGAGGTGGCTGGGCCTTTTTTTGGATTCAAGTCAAGAGAAACCTGCTACAACCAGGATGAGGCACCTCCTAAAACCCAGGTCAGCCAGGTCCCAGGTGTCAAGGGAAACACCATGTAGTTCTGAGGCACCTCTGACAACCAGGATGAGGTCTTGTTGCTTTCTGATCTTGTGCTTCCCATCGGCTGGTTCTTTCCAGTCAGGCGGCAATTGCTACGATGGTCACCCGACTTGGCCGAATGGATGCCCCTGATGGAAGCGTAGCTTCAAAAAATCCCGGGATGCCTCCAGACCAGCATTGAGTTCCGCGCGCAATTGCGCAGCATTTCCTCAATGTTGCTGTGGCTTTTGGTTTCAAGTCAAGTTGGTTCATTTTTGTTTGATACAAATCTGAAGTCTGACAGGGCTCCTTAAAAGATACGGCTTTTGCAACCATTTGAACCATGTTGCTTTTTCCACACCACCAGAAAACAAGTTGCAATGTTCAGGTGTAATTCACTGCATCCGGATCCTCGGTCTGGTTTTCTGGTTTGCCAGGAGTGCTACATGGAGCAGATCCACCTGGTGTTCCTCCTCGCCATCCTGGTTGGCGCCATTGTTGCCATGCTTTGTGCCGAGCCCTCAGCCGGGGAAGTCTTTCCGGGGTCTGCTCGGCTTAGCCTTTTGTCAGTCATGGAGCCGGAGTAGTCTGTAACGGAGAAGTGGCCATTCAGGCCACGCTGCTCTCCCGAGGATGACCTCGCAAAAGAGTTTCCTCGAAGCTGTACTTGCTGGCAGACCTCTTGATTGGCTCTCGGCGAGCGAGCGACCCCAGGAACGAATCGCGAGATATGCCAAGTTTGCTGTCGAGAAGGGCGCGACAAGTTCGACGGGAAGCCTCCCGGACCCTGGAGGCAAGCTGCCATGCGCCCCTTACTGACGGATCTCCGACGAGACGCGTTTGCATGCTCGAGGCAAGCACTTGCAGCCTCGGTCAAAGGCTTGGCTAGAAAGCCGAGTGACCAAGCAAGGTCTACTTGAAGGGTCATTGTACTTAGTAAGTGGGTAATAGCCATGGTTACAACCCACTTAGGAGACTTCTATCCATGGTCAGTGGGTTACAACCATGGCCCCCAAATGTCCGGCGTTCCGTTTCTTGGTTCCCAAAACAGACACATATCTTGTCATGCCGAAAGCTAAGCTTGGCAAGGTGTTTGGGGCTTCGGGCTTCGCCGTGGCTGAGCCATGCCCCTTTGAGCACTCGCAAGTGACGCGACGCGCCAAGCCCATGTGAAGTTGGAGTCGAAAAAGCTTCGATGGTCTCATGCCGCCTGGTGGCAATTTGCACAAGGATCACCGCTTGTCTAGGTCCCGCTTCTATTTCAGCAACTGCTGCCCGGGTTTGTCAGCGGAGGTCTGGGGTAAACGACATGGAATGAGTTGCGCTGCAAGCCTCTGAAATAGGTTTTTGCTTTTCTACTGCAAAGGAAGAACTCAAGTGATTGATCTGCAGGGGTTGTTCCTATCTTGTAGTACTGTAATAGCTTTTAACTCAACCCCTATGACAACAGCTCAATTTGAAATCAAACTCAAACTGGAGACTACGCGAGCTCGAAAGTGCCACCGCAAAGGGTACGGCTGCAAGCCCGCAAGGCCGCGAGGGTTAGACTTTTACCTGCTGCGTAACCACGTGCAAGGTGAGTTTTAGGGAATGCGCGGAAGCTTCCGTGATTACAAACTGACATGCTAGTGGCTTGGCAGAACTGGGATTAAGAAACGATTTACAGTTGACCCAACGTGAATCAAGCAATAGAAAGCTAGACTAACCCACCGACTAAACTTTTGGCGCCTAGCGGACTGTGGTGACTGGAAGCGCCGGGAAGCACCTTCCTGCTCTCTTGAAGTGCAAGGGGCTGTAGCCAAAGCCCAAGGCAAGCCATAGATGGACATGTGGCTGCATGGCCAAACAAACGCTTACTCAAGGTCTAGCAGGATGGTTGACCCTTTCCGGAAACTGCGAAGGACCAAACCACGGGTTCCGACTCCGAGTTCCGAATCTGTTCCCTTTCGCGCGACAACGCGAGGCGTTTGGCTTCTTCAGAGAGGAGCTGTGCGTTTGCGGGGCTGAAAGATAGTTCGACCACGAAGTGAAGCAGAACGTCATCCCCGGTCCATGTTGCACGGAGAAAACCACAATGCCTCAGTTATGCAGCTTTTATCCCCGAGGTTTCCATTTTTGACGCCTGCGACGCCCTAATTTTCTTGGAAGTTTTAACTCCAGACTTACTGAAGAGTGATCTCCGTTTTTGCGCATGGGATCTGCTGCTTGCTCATGTGGTCACCAAGGCTTTGAAAAATGTGCGGATTTCCAGCCGGTTTGCCAATCACAGTTTCTTTTCAATGTCCAACGTGAAGGTTTATGTCCGCCATGAATTTGAGAGAGAAGTGCTGAAATGTCCTCGCATTACTGCGGTGAAAGCCCTGCATGTCGAAGCAAGAAGCGACCAGTCTTGGAACACTCGGGCTCAAACGCTCAAATGTCCATGAGCTGCCCAAAAGGGCCTTCGTTCGCCTGTGAGTATCTATGCTGAGCTCAGGTCACCGTGCGAGAGAATCATGCTTGGTCTCGGCCAATGGAACTTGAACCTTGAAGGGTGACATGCATTGCTTGCCTTCCTATGGCTTCTCCTCGGTGCAGGATGCAGGAGTCGACGTTCCACCTCGTCCTTGGTTCATGAATCTTCTTAAAAACGGTTCATATTTGTTTCTTGTCATGTCGGTAGGATGCCATGGCTGGCTGCCACACATATCTGCACAGACAGCGCTCCAAAGCCATTGGCGTCCCCCTGAAGCTGCGTGTAGTGTGAGGCAAGGGAGTTGCAGGAGTGTAACGAAGGCAAGCCATGAGCCAATGCCGAACTTGAGTGTCTTGGAGACTCGTTTGGTTGCTCAACCGCCCATAAAGCATGCCTATTGACAAAGAGAGGTGCATCCCATGTTCAGTGTGTTTGCCTTCACCAGGACAAGGATGAGATGTTCACGCCCCTTACGCCACAGGCGCGAGAGTGGGGGCTCTGGGGCGTTCATTTTGTGCTGGCGAAAGTCCACTTGAGGCGCAATTAACACCTGGACTATGACTTCAAGTTTAGTCAGGACAGTTCCGACCATAAATAGGCGCCTGCCCTTTTGATTCACTCGGAAAACACATGCTGAGGAGAATGGCATATTCTCCTTCGAAAGCAGCAAATAAAAAACTGGCACCCTGGTATCGGCTGTTCAGAAAGGGCACCACTGGATGTCTGGGGGTTCCTCACTCTTGTGTCAAAATCGTTTCATCTGGTGTCTTGCAAGTTCCAGTCTGAACCCGTCCCCCAGGCCCTGTTTGCTATTGACATCCATCCAGCCAACCACCTCACCGCCTCAGGTCGCAAGCGCCGCGTCTTCGGATTTATCCGCAAGCAAGCAACAGAAAGGATCATCTACCTACTAAAACGCCAACCCGCGATTGATCCGGAAGGGTGCATCTGAATCTGATGCATCATAATCAAAGGCATTCAATAGGTCTTTCTTCTTTTTCTCGGATGTTGGAGAAACCGAGAATGAGAGAGGGAGCGAGCAAATCAGAACTCGAGGAACGGGAAGGGCAGAGACTCGGAAGACGGGTGCCCACCTTGAGGCATGGCGACCAGTGGAGATGGACTGGAATAGAGGAGACCAGAGGAAAGTCACATAGATCTGGGTGAATTATAACGACCTCACACGACCTCACACGACCTCACCCCAAATGGTGGTTTCTGTGCGGAATATCCCTCCAACCACCTTATTTCAGGCTGGTGAAATATTGTAATTCACCTAGATAGATGTCCTTTTTGGTTAATTTGATCAAAAAATAGAGGGCCCCGGTTTACCTGGTGGTTCAATCAACTACCAGGGCCATCTATTTTCCCAAGAAGGGCACCTATGGAAAGTCAACATTGCCAAATTGCATTCCCCTTGACACGGGAAAGTACGTGTTGTTGCAACAGCCCTACTGCCAGAGGCAATGGTAACAGCTCAGACAAAACATGCGTTGAGGGTGCAATTTGTTGTGTCCTTGCGCGTGTACTCTGCTGAGACATGCCGTGATCAAACGACTGGAGTACTTTCAGGTTCTGAGAATAGCTATGAGCTTTCCTGCTCCTCACTCAGCTGCTGGATGAAATGGTTGGTTTTGTTGCAGCGCAGTAGCAGCAAACCTTTGACAAAAACGCTTGAAGTGGCCGTCTAAGTGTCCACATACCACCCTGCTGCACCCAGCATGAGTTGTGTCCACGGCCGAGATACGCCAACACGAAGACTTAGTTGGAGATTAGTGGTGGACATTCCCAAAGTCAACGCGGGCATTCTTTTATGTACTTGATTGATCCGTACATTGGTATGGGTCAAAATTAAGCACCAGAACACCGCAGGTTTTCGTCCTTGGGTTCCATTTCCTAGGCTTGCAAAATGGAGACCCATGTTTGAGCCACTGCCATATGGGGCCGGATACATTCTTTCCTGGGTTTGGGTTATGACAGATGGTGGTGAAGAAGGAGAGCATGCTGTGGGTGCGCTTCCCATTCGACACGAAGGCAGGGAGTCCAGACCAAAGGGTTGCGACGGCGAGCTGGATTTGTGTGTTCCTTTTGACCGTGGCTTATTTGGGAATGGGTCAAAATGAAACCAGGAATTGGACCCCAGGTTTTAGTCATCTTTTCCATTTGCCAGGGCAAGCCATTTTGGGGCTAACCTATTTTTGACCCACAGCCATTTGGTGAGCCATTGGCAATCAGATCCTCAGGGGTTACCTGCCAGTTTTTGATCTTGAGTGTCTCACTTGCCCGAATTCATGAGGCTTCTTCCATGTCGAAGGAGGGGATTGAGCGCTGAGACAGGTCCAAGCGCATTTTCTCAAGAGATTCCAACGCAAGCAACTGGGGGATGGAGGTAGCCAACTATCCAAAGCGATGCAGCGGATCCCAAGTATTTCATCATCTTTCGCAGATCCTCGGGACAACGGACAGACTCTCACAGGCAGATGCATGTGGAAAAATGTGGGTCTTGGCCACTTTCCGCGCCAAGGGATGAATAACATGCAGGGGTGAGACACTACGATACTGGCTTTGTTGCCCAGAATTTTCAACTTTCCATTGAAACCAACAAGGGTATGTATGTATACATATATATATACATATATATGTATATGTATATATATGTATATTACATATATATATATATATATAATATATATATATATATACTTATATGTATGTGTATATATATATATATATTCCAGATCCCTCTGGGATTCCGGGTATGATCTGTCAGGAAGACTCCTTCAAGATCACCAAGGTCGACGGCGAGGTCCTCTGCCAGGCGCGGAGGAGGACATGGGCCCTTTGGCGCCCAGGGTGGTTTGTGTGAAAATGGCACTTTCTGAGGGGGTGTACCCTGGCAAGCTTACGGCGAAACGATAAGTTGGGTCAAAGCAAAGCCATTTCCGCCCAAGGTGTCAACGCTGGGCGTCTCTGACACGAAATCCATGTTTTGGGCGCTTGACGCCTACCCGGTCAGCGATCTCCAACCGCCTTGTCATAGCACAGGCTATGCAAGGACCACAGATCTTCGGCCACGGGAACAAGGCTGTGGGTCAAAATGAAACCACCAGGAATTGGACTGCAGGTTAATCGTGCTTGGTCCATTTGCCAGGGCAAGCCATTTTGGGGCTACCCCCATTTTTGACAACCACGGCCACATAAGTCTGTTGGGCTTGGAATTCTAGGACAGCATCTCTGGCTCATTGACTGCCATATCCTTGCGGCCAAGCTTGTGGACATTTAGATTCACCAGGGCAGTCAGGAGCATGTTTTTTTTGGCCCCTGCAGCACACATTCGTGAAGGTTAGCAGCAGCGTCATGCGTTTAGCAGGGCCACCCCTTAAAAACCCAGCGGGTCTAGTGACCTCTGTGCCACTGTGCCACTGTGCCACTGTGCCACTGGGAATCCTTGCAAGGGCGGGACGCTGACTGGCACATGTTTACCGCATTTGCTCGTCTCATATACACTATGTGGCTGTGGGTCAAAAATAGGTGCCCAAAATGGAACCCTGGTAAGTGGAAACATGGACCAAAACCTGCGGTCCCCTGGTGGTTTAATTTTGACCCATACCCATGTGAAGGACCCACGGCATCGGGCTGCACCTGAGGACCTGAGTTCGTCATGTTTACATACTCGTTTTTTCGGGACTTGATTGCTTCTTGTGTGGGAGCAAGCAGTCTTCCAAGCGATCCACCGCGAGAATTGCAGCGGCTTATTTTTGATGGACAGCTCAAGCTGTTTATGGCGAAGTAGACCGTCCACAAAGCTGAATCCCCAAGCTTAGCCTAGTGTTTAGTGGTACAGGGCTCCTTAAAAGATATATTTTGCAACCATTTGAAACATGTTGCTTTTTCAACACCAAAACAAAGGGACACCTCAATTTACAAGTTGCAATGTTCAGGTGTATAATGTAAGGATCCCTGTAGTAATTTCCGAATTTAACCCACGAAAAGTGAGACTCACTTTTAGCGGGGGATCTGAAAACGGGCAGCCCAGTCATGTTGAACGTCTGCAGGTGACCATGGAATGGCCAGACCCCTTCAGAGAATCCGTGGTTTGCGGGGGCCCCAGCTGCGGAAGTGGCAGTTTTCGGCCTCGTGTCCAAATCCATTGCGGCCTGCCAAGACTTTCATGCACTGAGTTCCCCATGGGTCGAGATTTGGCTGTGGGTCAAAACCAATGGGATCCCATTTTGGGAGGTGAATTCACCATTTTATTTTAGAACCTATTTTAGTGGGGATTGGGATGTTCACTGGGGGTGCGATTTGGGTTTTGACCCATGGCCGTTTGAGCGCCATGACCATCGCAAGTAGCTGCGTACATGCGATGATTCATCCAGAAACCATGTCTCTTTCTCTGCCTTTCCCTCTCCCTCTTCCTGTCCCCTTCCTCTTCCTTTTCCCCGGCTTCCTTTGCCTCTCCCTCTGCCTCGCTCGGCCTGATTGTCCAAACCATCTTGCCCAACCCTCTTCTTTCAGGGTCAATTGAGCACAATCTTGAGACTCGCCACACGCCTCCAGCCGCATTTCTCCGTTCAGCAGCTCGACTTCCGATCACTTTTTCGCAGCTTCATTTGGACGAGTTGCACGGGTGCGGACATGGATCAAGGTTTGATTTCCACCAAAAGCACGGCCCGGGATTTGGTAACCGCTGTTGCCCTGGACTGACACAGTGAGCCGAGGTTAACCATGTCTTGTCGAGCTTCCCAAACTTGGGGTTCCCAGGTGCCCCTTTCCGCCAAAGAGTTATCTTGATTGACGTTCTGGATTGCAGGTAGGCTAGTTTTCGAAGGGCTTGCTAATGACCCTCTTTGTATGGGCATTGTGCACCCCCTCAAACTCCATTGGGTTTGATTTGGCGTTGGCGAACAGCAGGAAACGCCCGCTTCGCCAATCCCCCTTGACCTGTCAAGTTGCTCGCGTAAATACCGAACATGGACTTCTGGGCAAGCGCCCTTGGAGTAAGTTCATTTCAGGAAGGATAGCCATCCCTGCTTAAAGGGGCGATCAGGTGGTTAGTAAGCCTGGCTACAACCCACTGAACGGAGACTTACAACCATGACTCTTGTGTGGCTCATACCTTCTGCGCCTTGGCACGTAAGACACCCTGGAATGATGATTCCCTGCAAGTACCAACAAACAATGGTGTTCCTATGGTTTCAGAGTGGTGCGAACGGATTTCGTCCGTCCAGGTGTGGGTCAAAATTAAACCACCAGAAAACCCCTAGGTTTTAATCCTGGGTTCCATTTACCAGGGCACGCCATTTTGGGTACCCATTTTGGACCCACAGCTCGTGCACCCCAACCCCGCCGCCGATTTCGACGAAAAGTCGCGAAAAGTCCGCCACCGCGCAGCCGGCAACATGGGCACCGTGAAGATCCTCAGCGCCAAGGGCATGCCTTTGGCGGAAGTGCGGGCGAGGCGGGGGGTTTGCCGGGGAGACGGGTTTGGCCGAGACGGGGCTTGCCGGGTTTTGCCCCCGGGGTTTGCCTCGGGTTTTGGGGGTGGCCAAGGCAACTTGTTTGGGTTGAAGGGGTGACCTTGGTGTTTTCGGAAGAGAGATGGATTAGGATTGGGCCTCCATTTTGAACAGCTCATGTTGGCCCTGCTCTGCAGTGGTGGGGAGGTTCAGTCTGCGGCCGGCCTTGGCACTGTTCTTGGAGTGTTGGAAACCTGCGCACATGATTGCTGGGGCCTCTACTGCAAGAGTGTTTGGCGGGACGCGTGCTGAGCGGTTGTGGATTCCCTAAATGCAGGCTCGTCTCGACACAGCCTAGCACAGCCACCAAGCCGGCCTTTCCAAAACCGCCGAGGTAAGCAAGGTGGGTGTGCTTTACTCGGGTCTCTGGAGGTCAGATTTTGATTCTGGAGTCCCTACGAAATATCGAGGAACCCTAGGGACGCAAGGAACCCTAGGGCTGCAACTGCCTACCCCTCCCTCCCCGGCAACCAGCTTCCAGCCAGGCAGCTGAGTATGGCCGGGCAGGGCCTGGCGTTGTGCCCGGCGACCAAGAGCAGCAGGGCCATACGTCCATAGGTCTGCCTATTTTATAGCGAGCTCTGGAGCCATAACGAGCGAAAGCCATGATGAAGGTCCTTTACTCATAAGCGTTGGAATGATTGTAAAATGTGCAGAGGGAAGCTGATAGTTGGTTGGTTGGTTGGTTGGTTGCTTGGTTGCTTGGTTGCTTGCTTGCTTGGTTGCTTGGTTGCTTCGTTGGTTGGTTGGTTGCTTGGTTGCTTGGTTGGTTGGTTGGTTGCTTGGTTGCTTGGTTGCTTGCTTGATTGCTTGCTTGGTTACTTGGTTGCTTGGTTGCTTGGCTCATTAGTTGCTTGGTTGGTCGGTCGGTTGGTTAGTTAGTGACTGAGTTAGCTTGTTAGCTAGCTCATTGGTTGGTTGGTTGGCTCATTAGTTGGTTTGGTTGGTTGGTTGGCTCATTAGTTGGTTTGGGTGGTTGTTTGTGTGTTTGGTTGGTTGGTTGGTTGTGCCTTCTGTCAATTGGGAAACCCTCCAAAACGAGGCCGCCCCGCCTCCAACGACTTCTTGCCGGACGTCTTCGCGCAGGGGCCCGATTTCGGTTGGTTGAAAGGGCAGCAAGGAGAGCCGTTTGAACAGGCTGGATCTGGATGGGTTGAAGGGAGCTGGCATTTGCATTCTTTTGCATGTACTTGGGCCACTTGCCCAACTTCGGCCGTGTGGGTTGGCAAGCTGCGCTGGCACAAATAGAGCGAGGCTGACTGTGCATCCAGGCTGCCGCGCAAACCCTGTGCCGCAAAGGGGGCGCTTTTGCAGACTTGCTTTGTGGCTGATGCCCAACCCTGTCAGCCATCATGAGCCGTTTGTGAACAGGCTGGATCTGGATGAGTTGAAGTGGGTGGGCATTTGCATTCCTTCTTGTGTACTTGGGCCACTTGTGCAAGTGGGGTATGCAGGTTGGCAAGTTGCACTGGCACAAATAGAGCGAGGCTGACTGTGCATCCACGCTGCTGTGCCAACCTTGTGCCGCAAAGGGAGAGCTATTGCAGACTTGCTTTGTGGCTGATGCCCAACCCTGTCAGCCATCATGAGCCGTTTGTGAACAGGCTGGATCTGGATGAGTCGAAGTGAGTGGGCATTTGCATTCCTTGTTGTGTACTCGGGCCACTTGGCAACTTGGGGTATGCGGGTTGGCAAGTTGCACTGGCGCACATAAAGCGAGGCAGACTGTGCATCCACGCTGCCGCGCCAACCCTGTGCCGCAAAGGGGAAGCTTTTGCAGACTTGCTTTGTGGCTGATGCCCAACCCTGTCAGCCATCATGAGCCGTTTGTGAACAGGCTGGATCTGGATGAGTTGAAGTGGGTGGGCATTTGCATTCCTTCTTGTGTACTTGGGCCACTTGCGCAAGTTGGGTATGCGGGTTGGCAAGTTGCACTGGCACAAATAGAGCCAGGCTGACTGTGCATCCACGCTGCCGCGCCAACCCTGTGCCGCAAAGGGGGAGCTATTGCAGACTTGCTTTGTGGCTGATGCCCAACCCTGTCAGCCATCATGAGCCGTTTGTGAACAGGCCGGATCTTGATGAGTTGAAGTGGGCGGGCATTTGCATTCCTTCTTGTGTACTTGGGCCACTTGCGCAAGTTGGGTATGCAGGTTGGCAAGTTGCACTGATTGAGCGAGGCTGCCTGTGCATCCAAGCTGCTGTGCCAACCTTGTGCCGCAAAGGGGGAGCTTTTGAAGACTTGCTTTGTGGCTGATGCCCAGCCCTGTCAGCCATCATGAGCCGTTTGTGAACAGGACGGATCAGGATGAGTTGAAGTGAGTGGGCATTTGCATTGCTTTGCGTGTACTTGGGCCGCCACTTGAGCCACAATCAAAACCCGGGTAGATGAAGTTTAGTAAGGGGCAGTCCCAGCCGGAAATAGTTGCGGCCGCCTTTTCAATTCCTTACATGGCTCTGGGTTCACCATTTTTGTACCAGGCTTTGATTATGACTCACTTGCACAGAGTGGGCCATGTGGCTTGGCAAGTTGCACTGGCACAAATAGAGCCAGGCTGACTGTGCATCCACGCTGCCGCGCCAACCCTGTGCCGCAAAGGGGGAGCTTTTGCAGACTTGCTTTGTGGCTGATGCCCAACCCTGTCAGCCATCATGAGCCGTTTGTGAACAGGCCGGATCTTGATGAGTTGAAGTGGGCGGGCATTTGCATTCCTTAGCGTGTACTTGGACCACTTGCACAGTGTGGGCCATGTGGGTTGGCAAGTTGCACTGGCACAAATAGAGCGAGGCTGACTGTGCATCCACGCTGCCGCGCCAACCCTGTGCCGCAAAGGGGGAGCTTTTGCAGACTTGCTTTGTGGCTGATGCCCATCCCTGTCAGCCATCATGAGCCGTTTGTGCACAGGCTGGATCTTGATGAGTTGAAGTGGGCGGGCATTTGCATTCCTTGGCGTGTACTTGGACCACTTGCACAGTGTGGGCCATGTGGGTTGGCAAGTTGCACTGGCACAAATAAAGCGAGGCTGACTGTGCATCCACGCTGCCGCGCCAACCCTGTGCTGCAAAGGGGGAGCTTTTGCAGACTTGCTTTGTGGCTGATGCCCAACCCTGTCAGCCATCATGAGCCGTTTGTGGACAGGACGGATCTGGATGGAGTATGTTGGCATGTCATTCCACTTCTTTGCGTGTACTTGAGCCACTTGCACAGCGTGGGCCATGTGGGTTGGCAAGTTGCACTGGCACATACAGAGCGAGGCTGACTGTGCATCCACGCTGCCGCGCCAACCTGTGCCGCAAACGGGGAGCTTTTGCAGACTTGCTTTGTGGCTGATGCCCAACCCTGTCAGCCATCATGAGCCGTTTGTGCACAGGCTGGATCTGGATGAGTCGAAGTGAGTGGGCATTTGCATTCCTTGTTGTGTACTCGGGCCACTTGGCAACTTGGGGTATGCGGGTTGGCAAGTTGCACTGGCGCACATAAAGCGAGGCAGACTGTGCATCCACGCTGCCGCGCCAACCCTGTGCCGCAAAGGGGGAGCTTTTGCAGACTTGCTTTGTGGCTGATGCCCAACCCTGTCAGCCATCATGAGCCGTTTGTGCACAGGCTGGATCTGGATGAGTTGAAGCGGGTGGGCATTTGCATTCCTTGTTGTGTACTCGGGCCACTTGGCAACTTGGGATATGCGGGTTGGCAAGTTGCACTGGCACAAATAAAGCGAGGCTGACTGTGCATCCAGGCTGCCGCGCCAACCCTGTGCTGCAAAGGGGGAGCTTTTGCAGACTTGCTTTGTGGCTGATGCCCAACCCTGTCAGCCATCATGAGCCGTTTGTGAACAGGCTGGATCTAGATGGATTAAAGTGAGTGAGTGGGCATTTGCATTCCTTTTTCTGTACTCGGGCCACTTGCGCAACTTGGGGTATGCGGGTTGGCCAGTTGTGCAGTACTTGACTGGAGAACGCAGACGAGCTATTCGTACATACAGACAAACTCCTTGGTTGGACCTTCATCGAAACACCCCCCAGGGGGCACTGCGCGGACGTAGGGATCTGAGCCCGGACGTAGGTTGCAACACAGCTCTCTCACGCTGGATTCTCCAATTCTGGCCACTGAACCAACCGCATCCGATCTGAACCCCATGGTACATTTCGTGTGTTTTTCTACTTCTAAGGGTTCAACCCTACTAAAATAAACGAATCAGAAAAAAAATGGTACCCTTATTCTAACCTCTCTACTGGAGGACCTAGACTTGGAGTCTTTTTTGGGGCATCTGCCCTTCCCCCTTGCCTGCAGCTCCTTGGCTCAACGCTTCAGCCCCGGCGCGCCGATGCCCAAGCGCCGGAAGGGCGCGGCCGCGCAAGCCATGGCCGGAGACGCCCCGGCCGCGCCCGGGCCGCGGTTTACACAGCCCTACCGCGAGGCAACGAGGGGAGGTTTTGCAGCTCAGTTGTTCAGTGGCCCCAATCCTTTTTCCCTTTTTTTGGTGGCCCCACTAAAAATGGTCCAAGCCCCAAAAAGGGTTCCCTTTTTCCCAGGGTCACTGAACAGCTGAGGGTGATGCGGCTATCCTCGATCTCCCATTTTTAGAAAAGTAGAGTCCCTAAAAAATAGGGAGGCCCAAGATAATCGGAAACGGGTGTTCATTATTTTTGGATCTTTGGTCCGTTTGAAATTTGCTCACGAGGGTCTCTACAGGCTGGCCCCTTGTTTTCCCGGGCCAGAGGCAAAAACCGTGCTTAGCACAACAACATGCAAGGCCACAAGGGATCATAGAATGGTGGGGTTGTAAGCCAGATCTATGTCGTGCCCTCCGCTTTTCTTGGGCTTTCCATATTTCAGACCTCGAGGAAAAGCCGACTTGGATGATTCATCCTCTTGCTGAGCCTTACCGGTAGTAAGTGGTTGGTAACCATAGTCAAAACTCGAATAGAGTGAACTTCACAACCCTGGTCGACAGGGGACACGTAGTGTGGCGCTGCAACTGACATTTCGGATGTGTTTGTGTGGTAAGCACAAGTTCGCGTCTTGACCATCCTTTTGCGGGATTAAATTCAAATGTTCCAGTTGGCAGTGGGTCAAACATATGTACCCAAAATGGAACCCTGGCAAATGGAAACTGGGACACAACCTGCGGTCCAATTCCTGGTGGTTTAATTTTGACCCACACCCAGTTGTGTGTAGGCACTTCGGGAGCGGTTGACCTACTTCACCGAAGAAGAGCTGGACCCGGCCAAGCTGGAAGCCTGGAGAAATGAGGCGCTGAGGGCATGCCTTTGTGAACCTCCAGTCTTGGGAATTGAAAGATGTTGGACACCTGAAAAAGTTTCCCGTGCTGACTTCAGCACCCTTTCTGTGGTGAAAAATTCTTCGTCCAGGGCCCCTGCTCTGTCGCTGGGAATTTCGAACCCTGTTCCGAGTCGTCAGTCCGGAACCCCCCGGCAATAGCCTCCTTGCGACGCCTCCGAAGCGGAAAGAAGAGGGAGGTCGTTCGCCTCGTTTGAACAGCTGCGTGGAAGGACTTCCAGATCGACCACTAATTTTGGAGATTTCCGGTCGCTCCGGGGTTCACTGGCTGTCAGATTTGACCCAGGATGCGCTTCCCTTTGGTGAGCAATGGCAAGCAGAACCAAGCCTGACCAACATCTAGCCCACTCAGGGTCTTTTAAAGAAAGCTCGATGTTTCTCAGATCATGACTCATGGCTAGCTAAGCTGTTTGGCTCGAGTTTCTTTGCCGGCGGGTTGAATCCTCCAAGCCACTTTGACCCAGAGCCCCCTGCTGAGTTTTTCCCTGTCTGACAGTTCCTTCTCAAGGAACGTCAGTTCAAATCTTCGCCCACTGAGCAGGCGATTTGAAAAAACTTGCCCATGAACCTGTGCCTTCTCAAATGTCGCTTGTGACAACAGCAATGGACTTGGACTTGGGGCCGCTACTTCTTTAAATGTCTCCACCGCTATTGGATCTTTAGACTTCAACTTTTGTCGGACTCCCTGCATGTTTCCTTTTAACCGGAAGAAAGTCAAACACTTTTTGCCGGGGGTCTGACAGCACCCAAGATGTTTACTGCCGGTCTGACAACCGGAGC